GAAGTAGTGCATCTCGGGTCTCCCAAACCGCGTTCACAGTTCTGCTTTTAAAGTTCCATCTCACAGCCGGTGGCCGTGGGATGCGTCTCTGTGTTGCCTCTGCAAGAGCTGCAACACGTTTTGGAGCACCGGAGAAAAAAGTGGAAAAAGCAGTTAGATCTGCAAAAAACACCTTCAGGATGCTCATCCTTGCTGAACACAGTTGCTGCAGGGTCAGGTTCAGTTGGTGGGCGTAGCAGTGAACAAACTGAGCGTTTGGGTACGTCTCCTTCATCACCGTCTGTACCCCGCGCACGTTACCGCTCATGACGGCCGCCCCGTCATAGGTCTGAGCGATTAGCTTTTCTTTCAGCTTCAGGGGTTCCAGAACAGCCTTGATGCTGTTAGAGAGACCTACACCAGTTTTGTCCTTTACTTCCACAAACTCCAAAAAACGCTCTGTAACTGTGAGGTCAGGCATAATGTATCGCAGCACAATCACCATTTGCGATTTACAGGAGACATCGGTTGTCTCGTCGGCCTGAACGGCAACAAATGATGTGTTGTCCACTTGCTTGGCTATTTCCTCCCTGTACACATCATACATGCAGTCCAAGAGTTCATTCTGTATGGTGCTTGATGTTCCTTTGAAAACAAGCTGAGCTTCGTAGTGCCGTTGAAGCCTGGAATCGCCCTCACACATTGTCTCGAAAATTGACCTGAATATCCCTGGATTCAGAGAGTCCGCCGACTCGTTGTGGCCCCGCAGTGCTGTCTCACATTTCCCACACAGTTTAATACAGGTGATGATCCGACCAAGCACGTACCTGTTTTCTTCCACCTTCCTATTATGAGAATCAATGCCGCGTCTGTAGGCGCTGTCAATCTGAGCTGCAACATTCACCCTTCCAAGTAATCCCAATTTTACGGCATTTTCCAAATGACTGTTGCTGCTCTCATGCTTCATTGTCCTCTCCGAAAGATGCTTTAAGTCCTTGTAACCTGTCCTCGACCAAGTACCTTGATCTTCACCAAAAAGCAGGCAAGGAAAGCAAAAGAGGGAATTCTTCTGGATGCTCGCCGTTAGCCATTTCTTTTTAGCAAACCACTCAGCGTTAAACCCACGTTTAACTTTGCCCGCAGTCTGGACCATTTGGAAATCCGGTGGATGGTGGGCACCGAGGCGCTTTACCTCCAGTTTCTCTCCGAGACTAAGTGTCTCAAATGTGTGCTCCAGTAAATGGTCAACTTCATTCATTTTCTTTCAGTTTTTTACTTCTTTTAATCGCTGGTGATGTTAGCTATATGCTGCTCTCTCGTCTCCTCTTCAAACTACACGTGACGTTTCGCAGCACTGCACACGTGAGTACTTACAGCCAATCAATTCTGAATTATGTGAGATTACGTATGGTGGGGATGGGAGCACTATGCCCCTACGGTCATTATTTTTTTGCCACACACATTAAATAGAAAAATACTCTGAGCATGCGCAGTGTAGTTTTTACAATCACCGTTCACTTAGACTGTGAGAGGGAGGGGCAGGATCGGGTTTTGTCCCACATGGCTCTAAACAGCTCAAAACGGCACTCTAGACACTAATTAAAAGAACACAGACTAAAACAGAAATGTACAGACGAATCAGATTATTAAACATGACCTTAAAATATATTTCATATGTTTTTTTATTTATTTTTTAGTATTTTTTTGTAATCATTATTTGTAATACTTTCTTCTGACACTAGGTGGGGCTGTGCCCCACCTGCCCCTAATGACCCGCCGCCACTGGGTGTTTATATAAATGATGTTGTTTTGTGGTAGAGGGTCGCTGTCATTGATGCGTTTTGCACCCCGGGCCGCGGTTTTGATATTCCTCTGAAATATACGCTGTGACGTAATATCTCTTCTTTTTTTTCTCGAGGGAAGGGGGGTCAGAGGGCCTAGGTATAAAAGTCACGGCTCGCATACATCCGGTTTCGCTATGAGTGGTCGCATTTTCGAGAGCTCCCGCTTTGGCCGTTATTCCTCACGATTTTTTACATATTTCATCCTCCTGACAATATGGATTATGGACTCCTACCTCAACTCATCAATGAGGCAACATCACTTAGAGAAGGAGAGTAATGAAAGCGGGGATAAAATGAACCACAATGACTTTTACCTTCTCAACGGCTGGGAAAGGAAACACCTCGCTTTTGGAAGTGCAAGCATTCATGCATTATTAACTGCAAACCCGACGCGAAAGTACTTACCCCCGTCAGGCAAACTAGACCGAAGAAGTATGATCGTCTTGGTCTTATTGTTAGCGGGAGACATCCATCTGAATCCGGGCCCGGTGCAGACAAGAAGCCAGTCCTGCAGGCTCGAGGAGCTAGCATCACAATTAGTATCACAACTAGCATCTCTTCCGCTGCAGCAACAACTACGCAACGACAACAGAGACCGTGGAGACAGCGGAGACCGAGGAATTAACGGAGACTTCGAGATTCCCCCGGGGACGCCTCGGCAGACAGACACGCATGAGGCAGTGACGAGAGGAAGAGAACCGAGATCCGAGGGAACAAATAACCGCCATGTTGTTAGCCACCCTGCTAGCATATCAACGGCTAAAGCTACAACGGAGCCTCCCTATTGAAATTGAAGATTATCTTGTAGTGAGAAGGGACAGGAACGTGAATGGAGGTGGTGTCTGCATGTACATACATAAAGACACCAATTTCAAAAACCGAACTGACCTGCATCATGAAAATATTGAATCTGTGTGGGTTGAAATTCTTTTTGACAATGCTAAATCTGTAATAGTCGGGACAATCTATAGGCCACCGGAACAGAGTGACTTTTATGATACATTAGATGGGTGTTTGGCTGATGTGGGGGATGTAGAGACAATTATTATTGGAGACTGGAATACGGATATGCAACGTAAAGACACGTCCGTCTTCAAGTCCTTCAGTAGGATTTGTGATCTGCACGGCTTCAGCCAGCTAATCACCCAACGCACCCGGGTATGTGAAACAACACAAACTACCATTGATCTCATTCTGACCTCTGACAAGTCCAGGATCTCCAGTAAAGGGGTTATAGCATGCGGTTTAAGTGATCATTATATGATATTCTGTACCCGCAAAAAGCTAAAACAAAGGGCCGGCTGTCACAAAACAGTCATATCTAGAGACCTCAAAAACTACTCTAGCGAGGCCTTTAACCTAGAACTGGAGAGCCTGGACTGGTCAGATGAGCTCAGTGGTACACAAGTTGAAGAAACATGGCTTGGTTTCAAAAACAAATTCTCTGCAATACTCAATGATTTGGCCCCCCTAAGAACAACCAGGGTAATAAATCGCGCTGAGCCGTGGATGCACTCCGGCATACTGACCGCCATGAAAACCAGAGACAAAAAATGCTCTGAGTTTCATAAAAGTCAGTCAATGCTTTCCAAAAGCACGAGCAGTGAACTCCAGGCCTACGTGACTGAACTAAAAATTGAAAGAAACAGACTAAGAAATGACGTAAGCTCCATGATCAAAACTGCCAAAAATAATTTCATCAATGTCAAAACTGAGGAAAATAAACCCTGTGAACTTTGGAAATTACTCAATAACCAGCTTGGCTGCAGTAAAAAACTCAAAACGAGATTTTCTAACTTAAACATAAAGACAGATAACAGGCTCATCACAGACAAACTGGATGTGGCCAAGTACTTGAACATTTTTTTCACAAACATAGCCACAACTCTTGTAAATAAATTACATACCTAGGATCTATTCTTGAGGCAAACCTCTCCTGTGATAAAATGGCATCCAATGTAATAAAAAAAGTCAATCAAAGAACTAGATTCCTATACCGGATCTCCTCTCTGGTAAACAAAAACACCCTGAAAACTCTGGCAGGAGCACTCATTCAAGGGTACTATGACTATGCTTGCACGTCATGGTACCACAGCACCTCCAAGGCGCTAAAAATAAAACTTCAAACATCGCAAAATAAACTGGTCAGACTACTGCTTGACCTTTCATCTAGAACCCACCTCACCTCTGCCCACTTTGACAACCTAGGATGGCTTAGAGTAGACGACAGAGTACAGCTACTTGCAATGGGCCTGGTCTACAAGATCCACTACACCTCTATGGTACCCATGTACATGTCAAAATTATTCCCAAAGGTCAAGGAATACCATGATCATAACACCAGAGGGAGCTCCACAAATCATGTGAAACCCAGATTTGGCACAAAAAAGGGGGAATACACGTTTCGCAATTATGCCACATCAAGGTGGAACGCTCTTCCCACAACTGTAAAGGAAAGTAAAACTATACTTACCTTCAAAACCTCTCTTAAAGAGCACCTTCGGGGGAGAGCATTGCAAAACTGGCCCCGGTAATGGTACAAATCTCAACCTGTCGTTCAATGGACAGCTTCCCCCCCCCCCCATCTATGTATATACTCACATTTTAGACTCTGTTACTAACTGTATATCTGTAGACTTGGTATGTCTTAAATGTCCGGTTAGGATGTATTAGAACGAAATCTAAAATGAAAATTGTAAATAAGCAATCTGTATGTAAAAAACCACCTGTATGTAAATTGTAAATAAGCCATCTGTATGTCAAATATGTCTTATATGTCTTAAATGACATGATGAATTGGAAATGGGGGACCCTGATGTAAACAAGACGAAAGTCTTTCTCTGGTCTGCATCCCCTTAACAATTGTATGTTTTGAGCTGTACTGTACTGTACCCAATATACAAGCTGTTAATAAACTTTTCAATCAATCAATGACCCCACCATCACATTGTGTTCTGTATCAGACGATCTCCAGACTGCATCAACCTGTCTCCCTCTGTCTGAACTGAGGAGCTGCCAGGGGGAAGGGGGGGGGGGGGGGGGGGGGGGGGGGGGGGGGGGGGCGGGGGGTCTGTCTGTCTCCCAAAATAGAACAGGGGGCACACGGCGGAGCTGGAAAAACACTGCGCGGTGGGGCAGTGCATGCTGGGCCGCAGGGATTGCAACATCGGCTCAGATCTGTGATCTCTCAATGCCTGGTTCAGAGGAGGGTGACTCAGAGGAACGTAAACCTGTTGATCTTCTATAAGTGAGACCATCAAGTAAGTTCACTTTCTGTCCTTTTTACACATTTGGGTTTTATGCAGAGGAAGACAAATATTGTGTACTTAAGTAAAAGTACAACTACCAAAGAGAAGGAATATTCTTTACCAGGAAAAGTCCTGCATCCAAATGTTACTCAAGTAAAATTATCAGTAGTTATTGTTCAGATTGGTCCATTTCAGAATAATATATATGATATGTTTTATAATGATTGATCATTAAAGTGTTCTCAAAGCTGCAGCTAGTTTGAATGACTTTGTATACTGGCTTATGAATTTACTCCAGGTGGAACTAAAGTCTGATTTAACACTTGATTATATTTCACATCATTCATCCACATCTGTAAAGTAACTAAAGGTACAACATACATGTAGTGGAGTAAAAGTACACCATTTACCTCTGAATTGTAGTGGATTAGAAGTGCAACGTATCTCAACATTTTACTTAAGTACAGTACTTGAGTAAATGTACTTGGTTACTTACATCACTGATTGTATGTCATAATTTAGCACACTATAAGGATGTTTTCAGGTCGGATGCATAGAGAGTAGGATATGTGGAAACATGTTTGTGTAAGGGATCCTCTAGTCTACGGGGTGATGTGGTCACAGGTTTGACCTTTTGCTTGTCAACTGGATGTAACTTCTTTAAGTTTTTGGCCACATATCTACACTCTTGGTGGTTTCTTCATATATCAATCATGGCCTGATGTATAGAACATTGTATTCATTAATACATTGTTAACAATGAATTTGTATTGTCTGTCTACAGTATTTTCAGATGTATTGAGTGAAATTAGATCCAAATTCCCTCTTTAAAAACCTTTGGCTCTTATATGTCAACACGAGAAACATGAGTTGAACTTGGCTTAATTCAATGTTAAGATTTATGTTCCTAAAAATGAAAAGTATTTTTTCTTAAAGCAGGGGTGGGGAACCTGCGGCCTCCGGGTCTTATACGGACCGCGAGACCATTTGGTACGGCCCTCGAGGTAATTTATAAACACACGCAAAAAAAAACAAGCGAGTGCCTGTTTTTCCTGGCCACGGTCAGGGTCCTTCAACTCAACACAAGCCTAACGTGTCATGTCATCACGTGGTATATATGTCTCGCCTGACACATGCTGAAGGAGAGCACCGGAACACCGCTCCGCCACTTCAAAAATTGCAGTAGGCCTACCCATAAGGAGCCGTACACATGCCGCAGTTTTTGCGTGGCTGTGTCTTAGTTGTAAGCCCAGTGGCGATCTGCTCATCTGACATAGGCTACTGATCATACAGTCAATAACTTTGTTGTTATTAGCATCTGGTTAGCTAGCTATGCTAACGAATATAGGAAAACATTTCTACAACTAGTGAGGTAGAGGAACATCTTTTGATCATTATAGTTATCCAACATTAAAGGTGGGGTAGGTAAGTTTGAGAAACCGGCTTGAGATACACTTTTTGTTATATTCCATAGAATGCTCTTAACATCCCGATAGCAATGAATATCTTAAGTGCTTTGACAACAAATCCATAAAAAAAAGTCATCTGTGGAAGCCGTAGTACTGTAAAAAGCACGACCAATCATTTTAGCCGGCCCGGCTAAAATAACTGGAATGCCTACCTGCTGTCAGCCTTCCATCTGTGCACAAACTTATCTCGTGCCCTCATTAGCCGCTTTTACACCAAGTACTTTGCCGTACTTAGTGCCGGCACTTAGTGCCCCAGAATAAGTTCCCTGAGGGAAGATTACGCAAATGAGCCGCTGATGTCACTTTGTCTTCTTCTGCTTTGGGTTTACTGGCAGGCCGCAAACAACTTCACGGCGTATACTGCCGCCCGAAGTCCCCGGCCGGAAGTCCCCGGCCGGAAGTCCCCGGAGTTGGGGACTGGCTTCAGTAGAAGCTGCTGAGACTCCCAGCAGCTTCTACTGAAGCCTTCCGAGTAAATCGCCAGAACGCCGACACCTCCTCATCACTCCACCGCTGCCATGTTTTTTTTTGTGTTGCCATAAATTATTCTCTCTCCGTTGGTGCGCTGGGCTAATGCTAATAATGCTAATGCCACAAATACAATGGCGGCTTCACAAAACTTTTCAGAGTTTTACAGGGCGTGGTTTGCAATTTTTTGGTGTGAACGCAACATAAGGGGTACTAACGGAACTAAACGGGAAAGGTACGGGGAAAAGTACTCCGGTGTGTGGTGTCCGGTGTGTTATGTGCGTGTTTGTGTGTGTTGGAGGAGGGGCTCTGTAAGGAAGTGGCAGATTTTTTCCGGTTGTGTATTTTGAAATTCTAGCGCACTCGAGCTGGTTTCTCCAAAAATTACCTACCCCATCTTTAATTAAGAGAATAAAGGAAAAACTGGTATAAAATACTACTAAAGCATCTATGCTTTGAAGGAAATGGTAGAAACATATAGAAGACAGAATTCCACTGTTCTGATTGGTTTCATTGATGCCTCTAAGGCTTTTGACCGAGTTAACCACCATAAACTGTTTTTAAAATTGAGACAAAGGGGTGTGCCTAACAGTATAATTAGGATCCTGGCTTATTGGTATGCCAACCAGAGCATGCGGATCAAATGGGGGAATGCAGTCTCTGCGCCATTTGGTGTTGGTAATGGAGTCCGCCAGGGGGGGCTCCTCTCACCATGCCTTTTTAATATCTATATGAATGATCTATCAGATGATTTAAGTGTCTGTAAAACAGGGTGTGTGATTGGTAATGTGATTGTAAACCATCTTATGTATGCCGATGATCTGGCTATTGTTTCTCCTAGCAGTGCTGGTTTTCAACAGTTGCTAAATGTTTGTTCTGATTACGGAGTCAAATTTGACGTTAAATACAATGCTAAGAAGAGCGCTGTAATGATCTGCAGAGCAAAAGGGGATAAGAACCTTTGTTTTCCAACATTCTACCTATCAGGACAGGTGCTGTCTGTTTGCTGTAACACTAAGTATCTGGGACACATCATCACAGATGAAATGGCTGATGATGATGACATGTATAGACAGCGGCGTGTCTTATATACAAGCCAACATGTTGGCTAGAAAATTCTCTTGGTGTTCAGATAAGGTTAAGGTGAACCTCTTTAGAGCTTATTGCACTCCTCTCTATAAGGCCCCCTTGTGGGTCAAGTATAAGAAGGCGAGCCTCAAGAAGCTCCAGGTTGCATATAATGACTGTTTGCGTATACTGCTTAGAAAACCAAGGTGGTGCAGTGCAAGTGAAATGTTCTGTAACGCACGAGTCAACACGTTCCATGCTCTTTTGAGAAATCGAATGTACAAATTCATCTGTCGATTGAATGTTTCTCATAACTCTGTCATTATGCTGCTGTCAAATCCGTGTTTCAGTGCTGTACGATACCAGTCACCTCTGTGGAAACATTGGTATAACTGCCTTTTTTAATTTATATTTGAGTGTTGTATGTTTTTTGTAATAATGGACCAAGAGTCTCTTTAAATAAAAGATGATATATGACAATAAAAAAAAGTTGTTATTAATAAACAAGAATACAGTTTAAAAGTGATTTGTAAAATATCCATAAAGAAAAAATAAAATCTGCTTACAGTTCTGTTTCATATGGGTGTTGAGAGATGTATCCATAGATCTCTTAATGTTGCTCTCAAAGTGCACCAGATTGATGGTTTTAACAAATCTTCCCGGTGGTGCATGCCCCCGGACCCCCCTAGAGGAGGTTATGTCCCCCCCCACACACTTAAATCATGTTCACATGGATAGGACACTAAATACATTTGCACACATCTTGTGTCCATATATTTTTGTTTGGGTGGTCATGCCACAACCGTGCACGTGAATGCATGCGCGAGTCATGGTAAAATATCTGGATTAAGAGGTTTCTTTTTCTTTGCACAACATGAAAGAAAGGCGAAATGAATGGGCTGTGATTTTAGTTTTTTTAAGCAGAGGTTGAGTTCAATAATTTGTACGGCCCTCGGAGGATGTTGTAAAAATTGAAATGGCCCTTGAGAGGTAAAAGGTTCCCCACCCCTGTCTTAAAGGTAGGGTAGGTAAGAATGGAGAAACCAGCTCGAGTGAGCTAGAATTTGAAAGTACGCAGCCGAAAAAAATCTGCCCCTTCCTTCAGACTTCCTTACAGAGCCCCTCCTCCAACACACACGAACGCGCACATGACCAATGAGGGCACGAGATAAGTTTTTGCACAGATGGAAGGCTGACAGGCAGGTCGGCCATCCAGTTATTTTAGCCGGGCCGGCTCAGATGATTGGTCGTGCTTTTTACAGTGCCATGGCTTCTAGATGACATTTTTTTATGGATTTATTGTCAAAGCATTTAATATATTCATTGCTATCGAGATGTTGAGAACATTCCATGGAATAAAACAAAAAGTGTTTCTGAAGTGAATTACATATACCCACCTTTAATGTAAGAAGTTTCATGGTGTTTTCTTTAATTGATTTATTCATCAGTAGGGTCTTCCCTTAATTCCAGGCTTGGGCATTACATGTAACATGATTACATCATCAGGATACAAAAAAGTATATTCCCTTACAGTTACGGGAAAACCAAAGGTAACTTTTACATTTAAAAATGTTTACATTTGAAAACAATGGGATTACTAGCAAGATTACAATGTTACATTACATTTTAAAATAAGTATGCACATGGGCACACATTTTATTTTTGTAAACTTTAGTATGTGGTCATGTGTTTTGCACTGTCATTGCTGGTCTATAGACCACTGCACACAAATGCTTAATGATGCTCAAAGGTTTTTCTTTAAAATAAATACCAATTTAATAAATATGTTTCCATAAGTGAAAGCCATCTTATCGTTGTTTATTTTCAATTTTTCTATTGTTTACATTTCAATATATGATATTGCGGGTTGATGAAAGTACTGGAAGGTAATCAGGTTACTTCATTTTTAAACAACCCTATTATTCTTTTTGGGGTTTCCCCTTTCCTGTAGTGTGTGCTATAGGTTTATGTGCATGTAAATGATATGCAAAAGCTAAAATCCCCAATTTCCTTCAAGAGGGAGTTTCTCTCCCACAGAACCTCGGCTGAATTGGACTACTTTTAACTTCTGTACATCACTATGTGACACACATTCCTATTGGCTAGCGATCCAACCGGATCCAACCATAGACTGTATATATAAAGGATCCAACACATTGTACGTGACTAAGGGGCGGGACATCTCTAAGCGGTTGACCAATCACAACAGATCTGCCCAGCTAACCAATCAGAGCAGACTCTGGTTGCAGACAGAGGGTGAAAAGAGGTGCTACAGCACAGGCAGTATGAGAAAAATAAAGAGCTTTTTGGACATTAAAGCATTAAGACATGACAGGCACAAAATACAAATATGAACCTGAAAATGAGCATAATAGGGCAAATACATTTTGTACAGGTAATTAGTAATTGTAACGGATATATTCTTGAAAGTAACCCTCTTAATTCTTTCCCTATTATCCCCACACAAGGTCCGATGGACGATCTAAGGAAGAGGTTGGGGGTCATGTCGCAGACAATATGTCCAAAGTGGTGGGCTTCATCTGAAAAGACTGTAAAGGCCCCGGTTAATGAGAAAGATGAGAAAATGCAGTTGAAGAGAGAGATCTCCCTGGGGAATGGGATCTGCCTCATCGTTGGGAACATGATCGGCTCCGGGATCTTCATCTCGCCCAAAGGTGTCCTGATGCACAGCTGCTCCTACGGGCTGTCGCTGGTGATCTGGGCCGTTGGAGGCCTCTTCTCCGTGTTCGGGGCTTTGTGCTACGCAGAGCTCGGCACCACCATCACCAAGTCTGGAGCCAGCTACGCCTACATCCTGGAGTCCTTCGGAGGCTTCCTCGCCTTCATCCGTCTGTGGACCTCCATCCTGCTGGTGGAGCCGGCCAGCCAGGCCATCATCTCACTGACCTTTGCAAACTACCTGGTGGAGGCGTTCTACCCCACATGCAGCCATCCGTACGATGCTGTCCGGCTCATCGCTGCAGCCTGCCTCTGTAAGAAACACTTCTCTCTCGCTATATAGTTTATCTCCCAGAAAAACAGCCTCGACTGCTATGAAACATTAAAGGTCCCATGTCATGCTTTTCCGGTTATTACCCGTCCCCTTCTAGCTTTTTCTGCATGTAAACGGTCTGCAAAATCACAAACCCTCACAGTACACCCTGTAGCGAGTAAAACTCTGCCCCAGAACGCCTCGTTAGAGATTTTTCTTTTCCCATTGTTTCCTTCTGGGGTGTAGAGGAAACTTCTGTGTAGCAACTGCATGGGAGTCACCGACTCAGGAAGGAGACACGGTAGGAGCAGTAGCTTTGATGTCAAACACTGGTGGTTTATTTGGAGTTACGGCCAGAGGATTCACATCACAAGTCCAAGAGCCAGAGGTTCTGACTTCACGGTAGAGTTGCCACGTCAATTCTGGAGAGCCTCTCTCTTGCTAGCCCATTTAACTGGTTCCACAGAGAGTCATCAACATGTTTTGATAAGATAGCTTTAGATAGTTTGGGCACACTAAGTTACCAGCTTCCGCCACTTATGGCCTTGCATATGTCATGCCCTGGAGTCCTCAGACAACAGAGAAGGAAGTGTCCCAGTGTACCCACAATACAGACCATCTGTGACCCAGTATTGACCGGTCACAGAATGGGAACAATAACATTATTGGCTGAAACAGCCTGTGTCCTTAAAGGAGGTAAACAGACATCAAGGTTTGTCCTGTATGTCACATCTTGGCGTCTATGATAATTATTTCCATAACATGGGGCATATTGACGTAACGAAGTCCAAATGGACCAATCCGCGGAGCTCCGCACACACCCTCTCACTCAGCCTTATATTTTCTTAGCCGCGGTGCTGCGCGGAGCTCCGTACACTACACACACACACACACTCGGAGCTCAGACTGTGAGTGTGTGTGCTCTGGCTGAGCTCTGCGGTGCCTCGCTGGTCTCGCAGACCCCACGCAGCAACCAGGAAACGACACCAGTAATCCAGCTCACGCTGTCCGCTCCTCGAGCCTCAAAGGGCGGAGCAGCGAGCCCCGCAACATCCCGCCAACACGACACCCAGACCCCATTCTCCTCTGTTTGTCATTAGTGTCATTTTCTGGTTGCTAACAAATGCCATTGTAACACATAATCACTGATGTTCAGCTGTAATGGTGGTTGACTAATCAGAACAGAGTGGGCGATCTGACCAATCAGAGCACAGTGGGCTCATAGGGAGGGGGGGGCAGGAGCTCCAACAAGGCGTGTAGGACAGAGAGTGAATACACATACTATACAGAGATGCTGTATGAGAAACCAATGTGATTTTGGAACATTGAACAATGTAAATCTATTCTAGTATACCTCAACAATGGAATTATGATCAGTAGAAATGGCCATGACATGGAACCTTTAAAACCCAACATTTTGTCTATTTTCTTGGAACCGTATTTCAACAGCACATCTTTAGCTCTCCATTCAGCCGAGCTCCAAACTCTGTAACCCTGTGTGACTGGCATCAGCTATAGATAGAGTGCCACACTGTAAAAATACCGCTGCCTGGCTTTGTCCTGTGGAGAATGTAGTTCACAGAAGTGTTATTTAGGTGAGAGATTAGTTGAGTTACTGTACCCTCTTACAGACTGTGGCCCATGTGACACACTGGAGGTGGTTCTGCTATCTCCGACATAAGGACGATCTGCCGAATTTAATTTAACGTATTACAGAAAGAGTTTCCAGATGGTTGACCCTTGTTTCCTGAATGTTTCATTGTTGCGAGTGCAAACCAAGCCCAAGGAAGCATGCCGAATGTTGAATGTCTGTAGTGGTCAAACGGTGATAACTTCTGTGTCAGTCAGTGACGTCATTGGGCCCAAATAGCTTATTCCCATTGACTTACATTGGAGGGGGGGGGTTTCAAAACTAAATCAACAACCCATTACGAACCCTTATTAATCATTAGGGTCTTAAAGTTATAAAATGCGCTGAAGGCCGAACCCAGAGTTATTTTCGCTGTGAGTGGGCGTGACGCTGCGGATGGAGGCGGGGTTTAAGCAAAGTACATGTACGCATTGTCTATGGGCCCAGGTATGAGTACTTTAAAGTGGACCTATCATGCTATATTTGAACAATATATTGTAGGGCCATACCTATATAAAGTATATAAATATAGTTTTTTTTGCGCGGGAAGTCTTCTTCGCTGCTTTTGTGGCAGACTACAGTGCCACTTACAGGCCTGGCATATGTACTACAGCGTCTCCAGCGCTTTCGAGCAGCAATGGCCGGCCGTGGCTCAACCCCACATTCCCATGATAGGTGGAGAGTTGGCCATATAGGCGGAGCTCCTCGTTCCTGACGTCAGAGAATTTTCAAATCTGGATCAGTCTGTATCAGATCCGTTGCAGCCCCATTTTTAGAGATTTGGGTATGGAGGAAAAGAAAGAGGGTTGTGTTTTCTGACACTTGGTGAGTTCCCTGACACACAGGGGACACATATTCATGTATAAAAGACGTACAAAAGTGCATTTTGCATGATAGGTCCCCTTTAACACTCAAGAGTCAGGCTACTTTGGCTTAAAGCGCCACTGAGCAACTTTCATAGCAATGAACGGGGTTTCGTCTCCAACACTGTATCCAGTTCTCTTTTTACATCCATGGTGCCAACTGACAAGAAAGCAGAAGTGGCCCAGCTGTTTTAGGCTTTTCTGTGTGAATTAATGTCTCAATCATGCAGAGGAAAGTACACAACAAGTCCTCCAACTCATACGACCAAATAGGTCGATTGTTCAAGTGCTTATTACGACCAAATAGGTTGATTGTTCAAGTGCTTATTACGACCTATAATCACGTTTTAAAGTTTTCGACCTCTAGTGCACCCATTGACTGCAAACGCTCCGGTGGGTCGTATATTCACAAATAACCCTCTCTGGAAAATCCTAAATTGTAGGATAGTTTGGCAATTAAAATGCTTTTTGATTAGATTTCTAGCGAGAAGTGTATCTTGTACTTTTAGAATCCACGTCCAGTGGATGTGTAGGATCTATAGTTTGATAGATATTACGAAGATTATTTGAGGTCTCGCCAGGGGAACGTGTATATACTACGTCTTTCCCCCTATTAATTTCTATTGACGGCAGCGTCCATGTAAAGTTAGCGTCAACCCTCACGGGGTGAAAACAGTATTTCCGGTCTCGAAGTTTTCATAATAAAACCGTATTCCCCTCACCGTCAAATGATTTTACAGTGATATCTGCCGCACTCATCCACTAAAACACATCAGTTTATCTTTGTTAATTACACAACATTAATTGGTTTAAATTGTGTATACTGCTTTTGTGTTTTTCCCATAGGTTTTTCCCTTTAGATTCTGAGAGACGCATTTATTTTTTCAGAGGCTAAAACATCGAACTACCCATAATCCTCAGCTACAGTATAGTTGAAGCTCGGTGATTGGATGTTTTAGCCGCACGTTGGGATATGGTGTTTGCGATGTGAAATCCGAAAACATTTTTTAAAAAAAATAATAATAATAATAATACTTTATTCCGAGTGTGCTTGCTTTTCTCTTTGAAAGTCATCACATAACGGCATTGTAATACACGGTTCGGCTGCATTAAATATTACACATCTGCCGTAGAAACTTTGGCGCTGTTCCGAGTTTGTTCTAATCTGTCAAAATGACAGACTGCTTTCAGATTTTTCCGTCATTGTTAAAAAAAATATTCGGTTAACGCGACCACTGCTGTCCCAGCAACATCAGTACCAAGCGAGAGAGTTTTTTCCACAGCAGGGGATATTGTAAACGCCCAAACATCCCAGCTTCTACCTGGAAATGCGGACATGCTCATATTCCTAAAAACCTGTCTGATGATGCTGAGTGAGTGACTGATGATGCTGAGTGAGTGACTTGTGTTTTACTGGTTTTCTTGTTCCAGTCTGTTACTGTTACTGTTTTTGACACTTTAAAATACTGCTATCCATCGGCGGCGCGTGAGTCTCAGGTTTGGGAAGGCAAATAACCTTTTTTTTTATCTGACGCTGCCCGCCTCCGGCGTCTATAGAAAAGAGATCAACTCAGTGAAAGCACCGCCTGCTGACCGATCAGAGCTCAGTGTGCGGAGTTTAAATCTATCAAGTCATATTACAGGATAAAGGAAATACAGTTTAAACTGCCGTATACGCAGAGAAGACGCCGACGTGTCGCACTTATCTTTCATATCACACTGATATCACATCATCAATCAGATCATCGATCATATAATATCACAATATTTCCTTATCTGAGTCAGCTTCTCGAGCCGTATCTGGCCGTGCAACACTTACATTGTCACATATACTGTATGCAGACATATTATTTTAAGCAACACATTAAGTTGATGAAACACTCAACTCAAATGTAATTAAAGTCAGATCCACTCGTGTCTTAGATGGGGCAGTATCATAAAACTGTTTTCAAACACTCGGTAGTTTATTTTTTAACGAGTTGTTCTGTATTCTCCTTGCAGCAGCTATGTGGCTTGTATCCTGGATTATATGTTTAAGTCATGGATGTTTAAAGTTAATATTTGTCTAATATTAGTTTACTTTTCATTAATGAAGTATGACGCTGCGCTGTCAGTACACTTGTCCCTGTTTGTGATTGGTCAAATGTAGCTAACCCCGCCCCTTTCACGTGAACGCGTTCTCAGCTGGAGAGAGAATCCCTGGCTTGATTTACCGAGTTGATAACCAGCTTCGTGGACCACTTAGCGAAATCTCGTTTGTTAGGGTTAGTTAAGATAACTCAAACATATCCAGGGTCTGTTGAACTGGCTTCGTACAGTTTACTGGTGGCTGCATAGCAGCGCTAATGTCAAAGACACACACATTATACATTATATTTTTATTTTTACCAGGATGCAGTAACACAAATATTTGGGAAGGCTTAGCCTTCCCTAGCCTACAGCACCCGCCGCCCCTGCTGCTATCCTATTAAAATGCTGTACAAATCAGATTTATTATTTAATAAAGAACATTTTTACAAGTAAACATTTTTTTAATTAAAATTTTTTTAAAAAGAAAAAGTTTTTCTTCTTTATTATTCAATATTGCGATAAATACCGTACCGTGGACTTGTTATCGCGATATTATTTGACCGTGAGTTTTTGGCTATATTTACACCATAACGGTGCACAGCTGATAGAAAAGGACTTGTTGTTTTTAAAGATATTACTGATTTTCTTTGAATTAAAGAATGTAAATACTGAGTTGAGAGAATAGTCAGGGGTTTTGGGTGATGGGAGACACATCTATGGAATCAGCATTTCAATAGCTTACCATTAAATGACGGATATACCTTTCTGTCTATGATGTTTTACAAGTCAGATATTAATGTGTAGAACTACAATATGTGAAATAATATAGCAATATCCTGTAAAATTATGTGAAAACATGAATAAAACTACACATCTTCAGATGTTATATATGCATAAGTGTCCTACACTAATAATACAAAGTTATTATGGCATTGTATGTTGTGTGTTATTTGTAACGTCTTCAGAAACTACCTTTCCAGCTATTTTTCTTTACCGTTCTGTTTTAATTCCACAATAAAGTTAATAGTTGTTATGGAAATAATTGTCATAGACGCCAAGATGTAACATACAGGACAAACCTTGATGTCTGTTTACCTTCTTTAAGGACACAGGCTGCTTAGCCAATAATGTTATTATTCCCATTCTGTGACCGGTCAATACTGGGTCACAGATGGTCTGTGTTGTGGGTACACTGGGACACTTCCTTCTCTGTATTTGTGGACTCCAAGGTGAAATCTTCGAGGTCATAGGTGTCCGAGGCAAGTAGCTCAGTGTTCCCACATTGTTTAGGCTATCTTCTCAAATATGTTGTTTACTCTCTGCGAAACCAGTTAGATGGGCTGGCAAGAGAGAGGCTCTCCAGAATTGACGTGGCAACTCTACCGTGAAGTCAGAACCTCTGACTCTTGGACTTGTGATGTGAATCCTCCGGCCGTTAACTCCAAATAAACCATCATGTGTTTGACATCAAAGCTACTGCTCTTCCCGTGTCTCCTTCCTGAGTCGGTGACTCCCACTGCATAGCTACACAGAAGTTTCCTCTACAATAGTAATATTATGTTTGATATTATTGTTATAACTAAACCGGAAATTATACTGGAAAAGTATAATTTATTGTGTTAACACTGTAAACTTGACGGTTTTTTAACCTAGTGGTTAAAGCACGTTATTGCATTATTTGTTGAATATGTTATATTTGATGAAAACATTTAAATATTAAGAGTAGCCTAAATATATAGGGGGAAAGTAGAAGGTCAATGATAGAAATATAGAAAAGAAAATATCAAGAAGATACTGTAGTGATCTCTACAATAAAACAGTTTAGTGCAGGACGTCTTTATTAAAACATTAAAGAATACTTTAAGGTCTTCTTTTGAATAAGAAAACAACTTTGGGGGTATCTACAGATAAATATTAAGTCTGACAAAGTACTTAACGTCTAATATATTGCATAGTTTATTTAGGCACTTGACTAGGGATCATACAGTCTATGCTAGGGATGCTTCAATCTCTAGGGTTAGGGTTGACTCAGTTATTTGGGGCTCATTCACTGGCGCTTCCACAAACAACAACCAACATAATTATTACATTCAAATGAAGTACATATATTTCTCTCTCTCTCTCTCTCTCTCTCTCTCTCTCTCTCTCTCTCTCTCTCTCTCTCTCTCGACAGCCTGTCAGTATCTCATGCAGCTCACTGATCCAGTAATGAGTGACCCGACAGTGAAGAATAAATATATTTATAACTAGTTTAGCTTGTTCCAGAGGTACATAAAATAGCTAAGTGTGTTAGGTCTAACTCTTAGTGTGTGTTTTACTCCGTTCACCGGTCCGTCACAGCGGGTGGAGCTGCAGGATTTCTGCTTCACACACGTTGCATCCCACTATTTTATTGTCATTTTCGGACACCTTAAAATATCCGTTCAAGTCCAGTTTTGGATAGTCTGCCGTGGTTTCATTCCATTTCAAAGAGCTGTTTGACGCTCGCCATAACCTTGTTGCACTCCCACTCCAACATCCAATCACAAAGCTTGAGGACTAATCACGGGGTTTTTCAAGCAAAGCGGATGTTGTAGTCCCAAACGATAGCTGAGGATTATGGGTAGTGTAGTGTCTTCGGCCATCCTAAACTCAGAAAAAACTATTTGTTTCTCCGAATCGAAGGTTAAAAACACAAAAGCATTGTATACAATTTAAACCAATCAATGTTGTGTAATTAACAAGGATAAACTGACGTTTTTTAGTGGATGAGTACGGCAGATATCACTGTCAAATCATTTGACGGTGAGGGGAATACTTACGGTTTTATTATGAAAACTCATGACTGTTTTCACCCCGTGAGGGTTGACGCCAACTTTACATGGACGCTGCCGTCAATAGAAATTAATAGGGGAAAGACGTAGTATATACACGTTCTCCTGGTGAGACCTCAAATCATCTTCGTAATATCTATCAAACTATAGATCCTACACATCCATTGGACCTGGATTCTAAAAGTACAATATACACTTCGAGCTAGAAATCTAATCAAAAAGCATTTTAATTGCCAAACCATTCTACAATTTAGGATTTTCCAGAGAGGGTTATTTGTGAATATATGACCCTCCGGAGCATTTGCAATCAACGGGAGCATCAGCCCATATGCCCGCAAATTGTTGTTTCTTACACGGCCACTAGAGGTGCTAAACTTTAAAACGTGACTATAGGTCGTAAGCTGCTGAACAATCAACCTATTTGGTCGTTTTCTGGAGGAGGACAGGCTGAAAGTACAGTATGTCCAATTTTCTTCTGTTTTTTTCCAGGTATGCTGATCTTCATTAACTGTGCCTGTGTGAAGTGGGGGACTCTGGTCCAGGACATTTTCACTTACGCCAAGCTCATGTCGCTCTGCCTCATCATCGTTATAGGAATAATAAAGATATCTGCTGGTAGGATTACATAAAGGTTTGAATGCATTAACGGATTAACATGTGTTTTACATTTTGACTTCTCTTTGTGTAGGAGAAACTAAGACCTTGGAGAGTCCATTTGAGGGCTCCTCCACAGATCCTGGAGCCATAGCTTTGGCCCTCTACTCAGCTCTGTTCTCCTACTCCGGCTGGGATACACTCAACTTTGTCACTGAGGAGATAAAGAATCCGGAGAGGTATGCACACATTCACAGACTGAAAGACAAACTAGTTTAGAGGCATGGAAACAGACACGTTGGGACTTTTTAGCTTATTTTGGTTGACTGGCAAAGCCTCTGCTTGTGTACTTTGTGTACAGAATGTAAATCTAAGGATTTTGATGTACTCACAGAGAATTATCCAGCAGGCAGCTGGACATTTGAGGCTAAAAGGAATACTTCACCCACAAACTGACCCTTTTTATATCAACAACTAACCCTGGATAACCCTACATACTTGATGAAAACATTGTTATGTCACAAGCCTCCTTGGTGAACAAAGAATCGGAAAAGCAGCATATAGCTGGATGAAGGAGAATTGGGTTATATCTCTCACAGGCTCCGCCCTCTACTGGACTCTATGGGTACTACCTTATCCTGCGAGCATTCTCCCACTGAGACTTCTATAGACGTAGCCGGGCCTTGGGGCGGGCCTACCTGAATGCGCGCGCATCTCACCGTATAAAAGGAGGCCTCGCCTCCTGACTATCATCCTTTTCTTTTCAGCTGCGGAAGTGAGAAAAAAGAGAGCAATGGAGTCAGTTCTTGACCACAGGACCGGCCCGAAATGTCCGAACCTAATCGCGGGGGCTGATCCGCACCCCTTCTGTTTTTTGTGTATGGGGCCTGACCACGCCGTGAGCGGCCAGTAGTGCACGTCTCCACCCCACAGTGGGACCTGCCCCTAGTGCTCGAGGCTCTGGCCTCGGAGCCATTTGAGCCTCTGGAGCTCTCCTCTCTGAAAGCATTGTCGTGGAAAACAGCTTTGCTTCTTGCCTTAACGTCAGCCAAAAGGGTGTCCGAGTTAACTGCTCTGTCGGTGCACCCGAGTTGTTTACTGATTCGGGGTGACCGGAGCGCCTTCGCTGTTCTCGGGCCCTCTGAGGGTCCCGGGATGGGCGAGGAGCGGGCTGGGTCCTTACAGGGCTGCCCTCCTCCTGCCGAGAGGCAGGAGGGGGGTAGCCCTCCACACTTTAGTCCACACACACTTTAGTCCACACACACTTTAGTCCACACACACTTTAGTCCACACACACTCTGCACGGGGTCAATGTTTGAGTGTGGGGCATGGGCACGGGCACTGGCACTCTCCCTGCGATCCTTAGGGACTTGGGGAGGTGGGTGCACAGTGAGCCCATACAGGGCTGGGGTTTCTCCCCATATGCCTAGGGGCGGAGGGGGCCCCCAGCTCTGTTTTTTGAGCACACTTTCTGCGAGGTAAGCGCAGCAGGGTGTGCTCTGTCAGCCGCAGCCCAGATGTATCCTCGATCACAACCGGGTTAAAGGAGAAGGTGGGGCAGCAGCTGCTGACGAGAAAAGTCGGTCAGGGGCAGTAGGCTGGAATGCTATTGCTGGACGACAGTGCGCGTATACATCAGGGCTCCACCCACTGTAGCCATAGAGTCCAGTAGAGGGCGGAGCCTGTGAGAGATATAACGTTGGGTTACGTATTGTAACTAGGGTTGGGTACCGAGAATCGGTTCCAGTTTGGAACCGGTTCCAACATTTAGATTCCAACGGCATCATTTATACCTCATTCACACCAACGGTGTTTCAGGGCCGGTTCGGAGCTGGAGCTTGAAAAGCACCGGGTTTTCCTCTTCACACCGCAGCGGAGCAGCCTCTTAGCTCCGGAATCCGGTTCGTTTCAAGCACCAAAAAATTGTCCGGCCAGAGCAAAAGCACCACATACGTCACGCTTACGTCGAGGCGGGGGCAGGGGCAGAGACAGATCAACTCCTGAACAACAACAAAAAGCCCGCGTTTTATCCAGTTTGTACCATGGTTTGTACACAACGATGGAGAAACTTAACAAGAGTTTCAGTGTTTCTGCCATAGACTGTATATATAAAGGTTTCTGCTCATGGTGAAGCAACGTGTCTGCGTGTTAAGGTGGAACCTGAGCATTCACGTTGATCACCTCTCATCATTATAACTCATTATAAATCTATAAAACTATAAATATTAAACTTTACTTCACGTGTTCATTTGAGAACAGCTGTTACATACCTGGGTGAAGGTTACAGTTCATTTAAATGAAAGATACAACGTTACTCCACACTCATGGTTCAGTCCACCTTAAAAAATAAGACCGACCTCGGAAGCAGTTGTGTTTTAAAAAAACCTTTATTGACACGAGTACACTTTTTTATAAGAATATAACTAAACCACAGAAATGACTCCGGAAAAGCTGCAGATAGAGCCATAAGAAATTAATGCAACTGATTTCATCCGCGTGGTTTGGCTTTATGAAGCAGGTACGCAAACGGTTACGTCATGACGCAAACGATGACGCAACGACGCATTACCAGTCAGACTCTGGGCGGTGTGAAAAGAGCCAGAGCTAAACCGAAGAACTGGTTCTGAACCTGAAAAGCTCTAGCACGGAGCTTGAACCGGAGTTGCGTTGGTGTGAATGAGGTATTAGACATGTGAATTTCGGTTCCGCTTTTCGATGCCTGAGGAAATGTTTCTCGCCGCTCTCCGTAGCCTACTGTATGACTGCAGCAGGGCGGGAAATGTAGCGTTGTACCCATAGACTGTGGTTGTACCCAGAGCCCTAGAGAGATAATATCATAATATAGATAATAATAGTATCTCTAGGGCTCTGGTTGTACCTACACTTCCTACAGCGTAACCTGAGACCAGGGCCGGCCCGTCGCACTGGCGTTATAGATGTTCGTCTAGGGCGCCAGATCTGTGGAGGCGCTGCGCTGACAGCTCTGGGAGGAAAAAAAAATGTTTTGACCGTTGGTGCTCATCCTAATGTTCGGCCTTGATGTAACAACATTCATAATTAAGTAAATGTAACACCCTTTTCATCCCGGTTACACTTTTAATTTGCCCTGTACGATGGGCGCTGTAAGTGATGAAAATGGGGGGTGTTGGCTTATCTGGCACCCACAGCTCACAGTCAAAGTGCGGGTGAGCGTGGGAGCGAGCGAGAGAGAAAGGGAGGGCGCTGTTGTTATTAGCATCTGGTGCTAGCTGCTCTACCGGAAGAAGAAGATGTTTCTACAATGATGTGGAGGGAGAGTCCTCTCCAGTCAGACTGAGAGGCTGATAACTACAGCTCAGTGAGGTAAAGGACTCTTGAGTGTTTAGATAGTTCACTTTAGTCTAAGTTATCTCAGTGGGTCTCAAACGTTTTGATCACAATTTATGTAAACACATATTTCCAAGGCACTCCATAATGATTGGGATAAAACCGGATAAAACAGGTTTGAAATCATTCCAATGTATACTATAGGACAGTAAACCAGACATATCGTTTTAAACTGGAGATAAAAAAATATGCATAAATAAAATAGTAAAATAAGATTTTACTAAATACAACAAAAATAAAATAAGTGACATTTATTTGTTATGGGCTATGGTAGGTTATTGGTTATGTTCATATACTTATATAATTATTAAAATGTAAACCGATCTTTTTCATATGGGTGTTTAGAGTTGTACCCCCTAGATCTAGTCTCTAGTAATTCTGCTTAAAGTGCACCAGATTGAAGCATTTTACTTGAAAATGTTCAAACATTTCTTCCAGGTATGCCTGAGAAGGCAGATATGCTTGTTTTTCTCAACAAGAACTGTTTTTAAATGGGGGGGTTTCCTTTAAAAGTTGGACTGTTGCACTGTTGTAGCTTCAGTGGTTCTCAGGTTACAGTTACATAGCAGTGAATATAAACAGACTGATTAATGTGAATATTACTGTAAACTAACCTGTGTAAAAGTTTCTTGAATAAATTTAATTTTTTTGGTGGAAGAAGCATGTATCATTTTTTTACCCTGCCCCTCAAAGAATCGGAATTGAGAACCGTTAAGAACCGGAATCGAAAAGTACAATCGGAATCAGAATCGTGGAAATTCAAACGATACCCAACCCCATCGGCGGATTTTGCGGGGGGGGCATTGCCCCCCCTGGTGGCTGAAATATGTTACTGCATTACTAAGTCTAAAACTGTTCCAATACAAATATTTCGTATATCAATATTTTAATAGATGTAATAAAATGATTGTTACAATACAAATCTGAATAATATCATGTTTTGTTTGAAATAATTTCATTTTTGAGCAGTCGCATGTTGTGACGTGTGTGTGTGACGTGTGAGGTTAAGGACACAAGTTCCCTCGCTTTTTTTTGTATACAAGTGATTCAGCTATTGTATTACAAGAATTAGCAGTAATGGATATTCAGCGATTTTTAAAACGTCCAATTTCGTCTTGTAAAAGCTTCAACAACAGAAGAGCCACCGACTGAGCCTAACCTTACCAACCAGCAGCCGTCAGAATGTGAAGTGGCAGACATACAAACAAGCAGCTCTGGATTAGCTAAATCAGATAACGTTAGCCCCACAGCGGACAGCTCTGGATTAGCAGGACCAGCTAACGTCATTAACCCCACAGCAGGGAGACCACCGGTGCCGGGCCGTCAATGGGTCATGATGATCTTGGGGGAAAACACAGCTGTCCCAAGCAGCCTACTTTATCCGAATTCCCCTCAAAAATGATTGGGAAAACAAAACGATAATTTTCCACGTACAATTACAAGAACTATCCCTGGCTGGAATATTCAGTACGAATGGATGCCGTCTTCTGTTTTTCATGCCGCAATTTCCAGACTGACAGCGGTGTGGAGGATTCCTTTAGAAAGTGCCTGAGTGACTGGAAAAAAACTAAGCAGCAAACTGGAGAAATATGCACACTCCCAGGCCCATCTGAACTGCATGGTTAAATGGGATAACTATAAAGTGACTGCATCTTCTGGATCTATTGCAGCTAAACTTTCCCGAAGCCACGAAGATTCTGTTAAGAAGAACAGATCTTATTTGTGCAAAATTGTTGATATTGTGAGGCTGTTGTCCAAACTCGGATTGCCTTTTCGTGGGCATCGGGAGGGAAGCGAGTCAGTCGCGTGGGAATTTTCTTGAGGTTTGTGGCTTCTTCTCCAAGTATGATTCTGCTTTTAAAAACATGCAGTCCAACTATTTCAATGCGACTAGCCCAGATTTCCAGAACGAAGTCATTGACATATGCGCTAACTTAGTTTGTGCAGAAATTGTAGAGAAAGTGCAGGATACTGGATTTTTTTCTATAATTGCAGATGAGGCCAGGTCTTGCAAAATGGAACAATTATCAGTGTGTTTAAGATATGCAGAGCAGCTTGAAATCAAGGAGCGTTTTTTGTGTTTTATTGTTTCATCCAAATGTATACAAGATGCTCCAGTTGGCACTGACTCTGCCTATCGGATCTGCCACCTCAGAGAGAAGTTTTTCTGCAATGAGGAGAATTCGGAACTGGCTGCGGTCAACGATGGGAGGAACAAGATTTTCCTCACTTGCTGTTCTTCACATTGAGGACGACATAACTGCACAGCTGTCACCTGAGGGGATAGTGGATATATATGCGGATTGTAAAAAAATGCGTCTACTTCTGCACTAAGGTAGGACATTGGTTAATAATATTGTAGCGTGTTCAAGTAACCAAGGGATATAGTAGTTATCAAATAAGTATAAGATGTGCACAGTTATGATACATTTTACAGTTATGTAATGCACTGTTGTTGGGGGGAGAGACCTCCCTTTCCATATGAGTGTGTGTGTACGGCGGGCATGAGGCGTGCATAACGGGACGAGTTGCGTTCGTATGTGGAAAAGTCATACTCAGTGTAGTGAGCGCTGGCTTTATTGCTACTGTATCCGTAGCACCCCACGCAATAGTTGGGACTGTGTACTGACGTCAGTAAAAAAGGTTTGCCCCCCCAAGCGCAAATGTCAAACTCCGCCTATGCCCAACCCTAATTGTAACCCTTGTTATATTAACACAGGCGGAGCCCTCTACTCAGGGCACTGTCTGTCCTATTCCGCTCGCTGAAGAGAGGTGTAGGAAACTACACTGGCTCCCAGTCCACTACAGGATCCAGTTTAAGGTTCTGCTCCTCACGTACAAAGCCCAAAATACCTCTGTGACCTCATCCATACCCAGACATCTACCCGCTCTCTCTGCTCCAGCCACGCTCCTCTTCTTCACATCCCCCGCACACGTCTCCGAACAATGGGAGACCGAGCCTTCTGCTCATTCGCCCCGCGCCTCTGGAACTCCCTCCCAGATCAGCTGAGATCTGCCCCTTCCACCGAGGTCTTCAAAACCGGCCTTAAGACCCTCTTCTTTCGGCAGGCCTTCCAATAAACTTTGAACATGGTACACCTAGAGTAATGCCATTTGTATCGCTATCTCCGACTTTTACTTTTGTACTCTATTTTATTTTTTATTTTTTGATTTCTTATTATTACAATTATTTGTTTAATCTCTCAAAGTGTATCAGTATCCCTTGTTGTGAAGCACTTGTGAGATTTGTCTTGGCAGATGAGAAGCGCTATATAAATTACATTTATTTATTTATTTATTTAGGATGATAGTCAGGAGGCGAGGCCTCCTTTTATGCGGTGAGATGCGTGCGCATTCAGGTAGGCCCGCCCCAAGGCCCGGCTACGTCTATGGAAGTCTCAGTGGGAGAATGCTCGCAGGATAAGGTAGTACCCATAGAGTCCAGTAGAGGGCTCCGCCTGTGTTAATATAACAAGGGTTACAATACGTAACCCAACGTTCTACTACACAGGTTTTCTGGGAGGTTGTAAATGGATGTATGATATGGTTTTTCTGTTGTTAAATGCAGTGACCATTTATTTCCATTCATCGGGACTTTTCTTCGTTTTTCTTAATTCTTCGTTCATTCACAGTAGAGTTATGAGAGGAAAATAAGGTTTACCTTGAGAATTCAAGGTAACACAGGGTTTAAAAGACATGTTAAAGCTTTACAATTCACAAGTGAGGTATAAACTGATGTATTTTAGATTGTAGAGCAAAGGTTTAAAATCTCTTAAAATTGTGTTTACCACAAAAATCGAAAAACCTATTAATTGACTTTGAGACGAGGAAAGTGGAATTGCAAAACTGCTGACTAATTTCCGGGTTGAAGGACTCATTCCTGCAGCTTTCAATTGCCACTTGGGTGAAATAATGTTGTCGTCACATCAACTTCCTGTAATCCACATTTCGGTAAGACAGGAGAATCATGTTTTCTTGTTCTAGGAATCTACCCCTGGCCATCGCCATCTCCATGCCCATAGTGACCATCATCTACCTGCTGACCAACGTGGCGTACTACGTGGTTCTGGACATGCCGTCTCTGCTGGCCAGTGATGCTGTCGCTGTGGTAAGAAACAAACCGTGTCCTGAGGGAGATGATTCACTCTGCTGCTAAATATAGTCTGTTTGGCACACTAACTTCAGACAGTGTAGTAAACCATGTTGATCTGACCCCTCAGACGTTTGGGAATGCAGTCCTGGGGCCGTTCAGGTGGATCATCCCTGTTTCGGTGGCCATGTCCTGCTACGGAGGACTCAACGCTTCTATCATCGCTGCCTCCAGGTAAACAGGAAGAACTGAACTGACCAGGCTCTTATCTTGATAAACGTTCTGAAAATAACTTTCCAACTTTGTTAATACTTCATGCAGGTTGTTTTTCGTCGGGGCCAGAGAGGGCCACCTCCCCAACAGTCTGAGTCTGATCCACCTGGAACGCTATACCCCCATACCTGCACTGCTCTTCAATGTAAGGAAACTTGTCTTTGAATAAAACTGACATCACATTCCTGAAATGCATACAAAGTAGTGTATGTGTATTGTTGTTCTGCAGGGGCTGATGGGGCTGATCTTCCTGTGTGTGGAGGACGTGTTCCAGCTCATCAACTACTTCAGCTTCAGTTACTGGCTCTATGTGGGTCTGTCTGTGGCCGGCCTCATCTACCTGCGCATCACTCAGCCAGACAGACACAGGCCCGTGAAGGTGAGGCTTTTTTATTCTTCAGATCATACTGTAATGAATACCATGCAATGCATACACATCGTGTATATGTATGGACAAGTATAAGGGCCAAGGCGGAAAAATTAGGCGACTGAGAATTAAGAATAAAGTGAAGTGTCAAGCCTAAATCTATACCAACATTTAAACTTTGTTCTCAATAGGCAAAACAGAATTATAAGTCTCTCTTCTTTAATTTAGTTTTTCTTATGCCTGACTATTAAAAGTTCAGTTTTATTCATTAACAACTCGAAATGCTAGCCAAACAATGTATCTTCCTTCGCATTATGACTGGCCCTAAAACGTTTCCATAGATACAGTATGTGCATACATAGACAATTTTAGTTACTGTGAGTATTTCAAATATTATGGTTTGAAGTAATATTTTCTGTAATAATTGCACTTCGAACCTCCTATGTATCACTGGCAGATACATCTGTAGTTACATTAATAATCAAGATTAAAATGTATTAATTCAGATATGGTAATGTTATGAAATGCATGTTGTTAAAGGGGCCCTATTCTGCTCATTTTCAGGTTCATATTTGTATTTTGTTCCTCTACTCTACTGTCACAGTATGTGTCTCCAAGCTGTCTCCATGCTTTAATGTTCAAAAAGCTCTTTATTTTCTTCATACTGCCTGTGCGGCAGCACCTCTTTTCACCCTCTGTCTGAAACCAGAGCCCAGTCTGCTCTGATTGGTTAACTGCTCTATAGGCCCATATTATTAATAATAATAATCACCTGAGAATATAGACACCAGAGGAGAGACTCCAGCATGCTAGTGGCCTAAAGGGCTCTGAGGAAGCTTTTTATTTATTCTCTTCACTGCACTTAAGTTGTAACGGCGCAAAACCCAGTGACCTTTTTGTGTTAATCAAACAAAGACACTGAACGGAAAGCTCAGAGGGTCTTTCATGCTGTGCCTGCTCTTATGAACATAACATGAAGCTCTGATGATACCATAGTTAACTAATGGTTTTAATCATTATTCTGCATGTTAAACATAAAAAGAAACTCGGATGTCAGTCACCAAAACTGACCTCTTCTGTCTTTTTGTCTCCACAGTTGTCTTTATTCTTCCCCTTCGTCTACTGTCTGTGTAGCGTGTTCTTAGTCGTCGTCCCTCTGTACGGAGACACCATCAATTCTCTAATAGGAATAGGCATTGCTCTAACTGGGGTTCCTGTCTACTATCTGGCTATTTACCTGCCTGAAGATAGGAAGCCCAAATTCATACGCACGTTGAATGGTAAGTTCTCAAAATGGCCTCAATGGCCGTGTAAAGAATGTATTATTTTTTAAAGGTGCAGGATGTTTGCCATCTACTGTACTTTTTGCTGATCCGTCTTCAAAGCATAAGGACAATGTGTCGCTACTTACCAACTATACAAAAATTAAGATCGCAGGGGGGGGGCGCCAGGCCTCAGATTATTTGAGGCCAAATATCATATTTAGACTTTATTTTTACATATAATTGTAAGGCAATACATGATTGTCACTAAAAGCCTTGTCTCTACATTACAATAAAAAATAATTGATTAATTAATTTAAATAAAAATTCAAGTTAGTAGCTATTATAGGCATAAAAAGACAGAAATGTATAATTTTTTCTTTAATAGAAATGTTTCTTCTGCCCGTAAAGAGTCAAAACCAGGCTTGTCTGGATAAGCGCATTTTTAAAACATAGTCCTTATCCATGCTGGTTTCAGTTGGATTATTTGTCACAGCTGCTCTGATCAGATCGGTCTCCTCCATTTTGTAGATTATTTACGACTTTTTAATCCACATAAACACATCGGCAAAATCCGGCTTACTTTGAGCATGTGTTTTAAACAGTTTAATCCCTTTGTGAATTGTTTCCACTTGCGCCGTCCTTTTAAACTTGAATTACCGCTGTTGCGCCCCCCCCCCCCTTGTGTGTATGTGTGTGGGGGGGGGGGCGCAACTTCCAACAGGAGTCATTTGGGGGGGCTCTTGGGAAAAAAGGTTGGGAACCCCTGCACTACTGTATATGCCATCTTGAGGTTTTGATTTGATCAGTGCCACGTTCAAATTCAATGCAACTAGCATGGCAACAGATGATTAGCATTGGCCTTTTAGCTGCTATGTTAGCACCACGCTACCTTTTAGTCTAGAACAGTGCTTCTCAAAGTGTGGTCCGCGGACCACTGGTGGTCCGTGAGCGCCCCCTAGTGGTCCGTGAGTATATTGGTAAAATTTCACATTTTAAATAAATAAATAAATGTAAGTTTTCCGCACTCTCGCGGGAATATCTCCACAATAGAGCGAGCTTAAGTTTCACTTTCGATTGCATGATATAGCCCAGATAAACACCTTCATCACACATGTGGCCACTTGTTTGTACCATTTTCAGGCGATTTGTAAAAAACGATGTGTTTTTGGATATTTGTGGAGTTAGGTGGTCCGCGAGTGTTTTTTTATTGGTTAAGTGGTCCTTGGTATGAAAAAGTTTGAGAAACACTGGTCTAGAAAGAAACAACAACTCACTGTCCTAGCTCTATATACACATGTATCGTGAAATGCATACATATTCTATTACACGTGAATCGTGTTTCAGAAACATGATTTATGTCTTCTGGTACATTCTAGGAAACGAACACACATGACGGTCAGTAACCATAGACTTACTGCCAGGCGAGCTATCCTATCCTTAGCATTCAAGGTCAATGCTTACTTTCAAACATTTTGCGAGAATTTTGCCAATTGAGGATGACCATACATACTACATTCTCAATCAGTATAGCATACTGACTTCTAAATACCCAAGTACAACATTACCATTAGCATTCTGAAGTATACTCAATCAAGACTGCAGAAGCTTGTCTGAACACTCCAACAAGCTTCTTCACATAAATGGAAACTTTAGAGAAAAATGTCCCACCAGCCATTATTTGTATAAACTGACAACATATTGGTATCTATATTGTTACTTTCAAGCCTTAAAATGGCTTAAAAATGCTAGTCAAGTATGTCCAGTAGCCTAATGATTAATCTTAAATGAAATAATCAAAAGATCTTGCTAATACATCCAGGCGTTTTGAGCTAAAGCTAAAAATCGCCTGAACATGCAGTTGGTGGCAATTTTCATGGCAACCTTTGTCACCAGTGTATGATGGGTTAATGCTGGATTTGTTGTAAAAGTGGTTCAGTGATTGCAAAGGACTATAAAAGGTAGCCTACTATATTAATGCAGTCCAGTCCATTTAAAAAACATTTCCTGTAAGTGAATAATATTACCCAATCCTACATGCTACATGTTTATCACTAAACAATCTTGCATGCTAAATTCTACATGTTTATCACTAAACAATCCTACATGCTAAATGCTACATGTTTATCATTAAACAATCCTACATGCTAAATGCTAGGCTACATGCTTAACGTAACACAATCCTCCATGCTACATGCTACATATTAACAATCAAACTATCATGAATGCTACATGTTTATCATTACACAAATATACGTGTTGTGTTTATCATTACTCAATTCTACATGCGACATGTTTATCATTACTCAAGTCTCCATGCTATATGTTTATCATGACATTATCCTTCATGCTACATGTTTAGCATTATACAGCCCTACATGGTATATCAATTCACCCATTCATCCCACCTGATTTTGTTTTACTTTCAAAATACAGCGTTACTCATCATGATCAGTCAGCTGTAACTGACCTCTCCACATTATTCCCTCCTTCCCTCTTTCCTCCTCCAGAATTTGCCACCATAAACACCCAGAAGCTGTTCCACTGCTGCTTGACTGAATTTGACCCTGAGACAGAAGTAACAGCAGACAGTAAAGCGCAGTGAGCTGCAGACACATACCGCTCAGCAGCCGGCTCTCTGCAGAAGGCCTCATCCTGTCCATGTGTCAACGTTCACTGCTCCCAGAACGCAGAACAGCAAGGCCTGGAATGGGCTGAGGGGTGAGGCGCAGGACCGCTACATTTGAGAGGACTACTTCTCCCAGGTCCGGTTAAAGAAATGCCTGACATCTCAAATGACTCACCATGAAGGAGCAGGAACTGCAAACTGTTGTTTTCTTCTGAAATAATGCTGTATATTTTTGTACAGACATCAAGGAGCATCTGCTTGAGAAGATGATACAATATGGAACAAATATGGAGCTCATATTTTTTATTTTTTAGAGGACTTGCTGTGTTATTATTATGATTTTGTCCTTAAATGGCATTGCAATATAATATCTACAACACTTAATGACCCTGACTTTATTTCTGTTAAGAATTCATTTTAATAAATCTTTTCCTCAAATGACACAACACATAACAAACAGACATTACACTTGATTAAATGACTGTCATTTGGTACACATTTTAGAGCAGTTTTTTGTAAAAGCAGAACACTTCCTGTCACAAACTCTCATTAGCAGGCAGAGTGTCTCCATGAGGGGGAGCTGCTTCATCATGGTCAGACTGTAACTGCAGGGCCAGGTGTCCAATGATAATGGACCAATACTTATGGTACCATTTATAAGATGGACATGAGTTTGTGTTCATATGCATTACAAAATGATATTTAAGTAAAAGGTCAAACTTTTCCAAAATGAAATAATTTGTCATGTTTAATAAGATGAATGTTTACATAATAAGTGCAGAGTTGAACAGATTCAGTCATATTTACACCTTACCAGAAGCTCTTATTATCTGTATCTGCTCAACAAGGCATTACATTGCAATAATCATGCATGATTTATACTTAACAGTGTGTATGAGGAGCCTACTGCGCTGCAGGTTTTTTTTGTTCTAACCGTAACGCATGTAGGTTTAAAGTGTTTTTCTTATACATAAGAAAAACACTTTAAACCTACATGCGTTACGGTTAGAACAAAAAATCTGTCTAAAATGCACTCCGTTTTTTTGTGACTTTGGTTGTACTGTTTTTTAAAGTAGACATTATGCTGTTTTTCAGCCTCATACTTGCATTTTTGACTTAAACAGGTTTGCATGCTTTAATGTTTGAAAAACACATTATTCTTCTCATTATAGCCATCTGAATATCCGTCAGTATTCACGCTCGGTCTGTAACGCTCCGTTTTAGCACCTGTCTCTTTAAGGCCTTCTTAGAATGCCCAGTCTGCTCTGATTGGTTTGTGCTTCTGGGGCTTGTGTGTCTGTCCTGTCTGCGTTTGGGGGCACCATCACTGCCATATGATATGTGTATATTTGTGAATTTGCTAACTTAACAGAGTCCTGGCGGCTCATTTAAAGAAACAGTTACTGATTAAGAGCATTTTGATACTTTGACAATGTTTATATATCATCTAGACCTGCTTGAAAATCTCACCTTAAATGTTTTCAGAATCCATTTTGGTGTTCTGTTTGACTGAGCACTCACAGTAATTGGTAGTGTCTTGAAAGCTTTGCAATAAATACATTCTCGTTCTGTCAACCAGACTGGGATTGTTGTGTGTTTATTCAAATCATTTATTGTGAAAACCTGTAATTCATACAACACTAAACACTGTTCAGCAACAGATGGTAAAATATCCTGCAACTGTCATTAAAATAAACAACTAGTAGAATATGTAAGTAACAGTATTGACAATGTTTTATGCTATGAACACAAATCTTAATGAGGTATTTAGAAATACAACAGAAAGATCCATTTTAAGGGGAGACACAACAGGTAAATAAATAGCTGTTAATCGACAATATATATCAACAAAAAAGCCTGCCTAGTTGATTGCTTACATTAAGACAATTACTTTTTTTCAAAGTTTAGTCAAATGGTATGTTTAAATATGCAAATCATGCATTATCTCATGCTAACTTTTTATGAATTGAGCAGTAATTTGCTAATTTGTAAATAGACAAAAGTTATTAAAAAGAAAACCCTAAATGTAGTCACTGTAGTCAGTCGTTTTTCCTGTTGCACAAAAATAAAATAAACTCAACTCTCAAAGCTGAATAGTGCATGAAAAAATCAATGTTGTGTTTCGACTTAAGAACTGCTTTTCTCTGAAGTCCTATTCCACAGATGAGGTGATATGGAGTGACTATAAGGTGCAGTTGGCGGCCTCGAACCCGGGACAGATCCACTTGTTGCTGAACTGTTGGTATCCCTCAGCGCTGATCAGGTCACTGCCTGAACAGAGGACACAGGACACGTCAGCGAACACTGATCGAGGTGAATTAGTAATATAGTGAATGAAGTTCCATAATGAAATACAAACCATCCATCAGGTTCTGGAGGCTGCAGTAGTTTGTGCTGTCCTCCGCTGCATTTTTAGAGGACTCAGACACTGCGTCTCCCTGCACAACATCAGGATATCAGAGATGCACACCGCAACAGAAGCTGATTTATCTTTTTAACTCTTCAATCCAACACTTTCGGTAGCTTTAATTCACATAATTTCTCCACAATCGAACGCACATTATCCAACTAATGGTTTCAATGTTTCATCAAAGCTGTGAGATACTTGAACTGAGTACAATATCTTAACCTAAACTTTGACACTCTTTGTTTGCATTATTAAATGACCATTTACTGATTAGACTCACAAAAAAAAGGTTATTACTATACAGTTTGCAATAAATACAAATGTTCTTTTAACAGAGTTGAAGTTTCGTATGAGCATTAGCCTGTTGTACCATTCAGAAAAAGGACACTTACAGTCAGCTTGCAGACCATGGACTGCTCCAGGAGAAACTGGAGGTCGGTGACCTTCTTTGCATCTGGAGACGTGTGCGTGGCTTTCACCAGGTAAGGAGCTGTGGACACAAGCTGCAGAGCATTTCTCATTCAGTCAGGTCAGAGACACTTTCTACACAACATAATGCCAAATAAGCATCCACAACAAGGTCATTCTACACGGAAATTAGCACTTGTTTGTTAATGTGCATCATTTGGTCATCAATTACAAATGATCCTATGAAGAAGTGTGATTATGCCCACTGAGCAGTTATATATACTGTATTTACATACAAAAAACAATTGTATCTTCAACTACATCCAACAACCAAACAATTTAACAAATGTTGATGCTACATAGTTGGGGTAAGTAAATTGTGAACTAGAGATGCTACAACATGTTCCCATATCTGTTGCCCAAGATGTGAAAGAATAGGTGAATGATATACATATTTAAGATTTGAATTGTTACGCAGAGTTCTGCTGATGCTACTGCAGGCAAGTATAGCTTTATGTATGTGACTTGTGAACAAATTAAAATGCACATTTTGATTCATTCGTATTTCTAAATACTATAATATTTACATCATTTGGTGGCTGCCTGGATTCTGACTTTAGGTTGAATGAATGCTGAAAATGTGAATTATTTTTACAGAAATACCATATTTATAATACTTAATTCTCTATGAATGGGTTGACTGCTGTGTTTCTGACCTCGTAGGAGCACCTCTCTCCTTCATACTGACAGCTCTGCCCGATCTGCCAGGCTTTGATCTGGTTCACCAGCTTTTCAGTCACATCTGCGCACGAGATGCCAAACATCCTGCAGGGCAGAGCAGTGGGTGTCAGTTGGTCCTGTAACACTTGCTTAAGGGTGTTCAAAGCATCAGGAAATGAAATCAAATATAACATTTAGATTATTTTGATCTTCGTTTTCTGCACGAACATTAACTGAGTCCTGTCGTCTCCCCATGTCCAAGATAAAATGTGTGAGAATTGTGGCTGCACAGTTCTTTGACTTCCTAAGTACCTTGTCTAACATGCGTTTGACCCTTTTACACAGCAGGTTTCACGCATCCCAAACACCACCATAAAGCTTTATCTGTCCAGCTGGTCACATGTTGCAGATTTTACTCTGTCACACTAACATCTGCAGCGTGAACAAATCACTGATCGAGGGGCCAAAAGTATCAGGGGCCTGTATGGTATTCCCCTACAAAATGTCCCTCACAAGGAGACACATTTAGATGGCTGTAAAACGGGGCAATTCAAATTGTTTGTTAAATGGCCAAATAGAAACACAAAGCAACTGCAAAAAGGGAACAGAAAGCCAGGCCAGGAATTGCTGCAAAGAGACCAAAACAATTACAGTCACACAAAACATCTATACACAATAATTAGAGCCAACAAAGACATGGTAACAAAAACACTAAAAACACCTCAAAGCAACACAAAACCACAATGAAGACAAGATATACAAAAAATAACCACAAATACAAACAAAACACATACAGAAAGACACAAAACTACTTCAAAGAGACACAAAATGACTCAAAAGACAATATAAACAATTTCAAAGAAAATGTAAACTACTACAAAGAGACACAAAACATTCAAAGAGACACACAATAACTACAAAGAGACACAAAATGACTCAAAAGATCATCTTAACAACTTCAAAGAAAATCAAAACAACTACAAAGTAACAAACAAAATCACCACAATGATAAAACAATTAAAAAAGGCTATACACATCATTCAAATCTGTGTGTCTTGTATAGAGATGGGGCATTTTGCATCTCTGTGGCCTGGGCACAAACCAAATTGACAAAGACACTGTACATTCACTTACAAAGTCCCTACATGCACCCACAGAAAACTCATACATATTTAAATGCCACACATGTTCATCTCATCTATAAACACTGTACTAATCAAATCTACATTACCACTTGACTTTGCAGGTATCTGCCAGGGAGAGTGTGAGCGTGGCCCCCAGGAGCAGAGCCACAGACAGGAGTCTTAGGTCCATGGTGAAGGCAGGTCGATCTCCACGTCTTCTGAATGTGTCGCCCCGATCTGCCCGAGGCTTAGAGAGCGGACCACAGATCATGTGGAGAACTGGAGACGACGGTATCATTGATTATCACAGAGCCACGACATGGGAGAGCACTACAAGGCAAGGCAAGTTTATTTATATAGCACTTTTCAACACAAGGCAATTCAAAGTGCTTTACAAAAAATGAAAGACATTAAGAAAATGGCATCATTAAAAAGAAAAGCTAATAAAATAAACATTAAAAGAAAAAATACATGGATAAAAGTTACAGTGCAATCTAAGATGTGAATAGTTCAATTAAAAGCAGCGACAAAAAGAAAAGTCTTCAGTCTGGACTTAAAAGTAGTCAGAGTTGCAGCGGACCTGCAGGTTTCTGGGAGTTTGTTCCAGATATTTGGAGCATAATAACTGAACGGCACTAAAGCAGAAGTTACACACAGAGACATCTGTGTTTACAACAATTAGGGTGCGTTCACACCTGCCTTGTATAGTCCGGTTGAATCGAACCCTGGTGCGTTTAGCCGCTTGGTGCGGTTCATTTGGGTCGGTGTGAACACAATCCGAGACCTCTTAAGTGAACTAAACAACTGGACAAGCGGCTTTGTTTTGGATTAAGTCAACCGGATAACTCAAAACATATCCAGGTTAGGTTGAACCAGCTTCATAGTACAGGCCCCTGGTCCCGACCAGGGGGGTATACTACGAATCTAGTTCTAGGTTAGGTCCACCCCCACCTAAAACATGTTCACATGGATAGGATACTAAATACATTTGCACACTTTTTTGTATGGTGGCCTATGTCCTATGTTTCTGTTTTAGTGGTCGTGCCACTACCGTGCATGTACAAGTCATAGGTGCGCTATACAATAGCACTACACCCCTGCAATGTGTGTGAAAAACAATAGACTTTACAGCATGTTTTTTTAAGTTGCGTTGGCGAACCATTCGATTTGTTCTAGAGCCGACCCTGTCTTCATGGATGTCTAATGTCCTATTTTTTATCTGGTACCGCCTCCCTATTCATGACCTAGATTCCTATCAGTCAGAAAAGGTTTTTCCTGCACTGGAACAAAAGTCCTCATCAGTGATAGTGATCAGAGGGTGCAGCCAGAAATAGAAAGAGTCTTCAGAGTCTGCAGCAGACAGGCCCTCTTTGCTTGCACAGGCCTTTTTCCAGATAGATTGGATCATGGATTTAGATTTGCATGATGATATTACAGTATCCAGATGAATGGGATCTGAGGAGCTGCAGTTAATCCTGGGGGGTAGAGTTCTGGGTCTGGAGGTCCTTCAGTTGAACCTTCCCTGCTGCAGTGTGCTCACTCGTATACCTGGATGGATCGGGTTGCACTGTGAGAATCACCTTTTTTGATTTCTCCTGCGCTTTCAACATGATCCAGCCTCGGCTACTGAGTGACAAGCTGCAGGCTATGAGGGTAGACCCATCTCCTGGATTACCAACTACCTCTCAGACAGACCACAGTACGTCCGGCTGGGCAGTGTGCTGTCTGATGTGGTGGTTGGTATGGAGCCCCTCAGGGGACTGTGCTGTCTCCTGTCCTGTTCACCTTATACACCTCTGACTTTCAATACAACTCAGAGTCATGCCACCTGCAGAAGTTTTCAGATGACTCTGCAGTAGTAGGGTGTTTCAGGGATGGACGGAGGAGGAGTACAGAGCGCTGGTGGGTGATTTTGTAGAGT